TAATCTGTTTACATTAAGTTTATCACTGACTTATCTTTGCTTAGTTAATCTTAAGTTAATTCTAAGCCAGCCCGTAATGCTATGCATAGTATAAGTGGCTTTGGCATGCTGCTCTTATCTGTATTTTTTTGTACCTCTGTATGTGTGCTCAAATTTATAATAAATAAATAAATAAAAAAGGAGTTATCTTGGAATGTAGCGGCGGCCATGTTTGTTGTTGTCTGTCGTGTGTTGTGGTGATGTCGGTGGGTGATGAGGGTTGTGTCCTGGCTGGCAGTACTACAAGTTTTCCTCTTGTTATTACTGCTCTCACCTTTGATGTTAGGAGTCCTTAGCTGGTTACTGGATCTTCTTTTATTGTTCTGACCCTTGTCCATTGGCTGTGGCTTCGGGTGAATAGTAGGCGATGGGTGTTGGGTGAATGTTGTGGAGTATCACTGTCATGCAGATTCGGGTGTCATCTGCAAAGGAAGACACGGTGCTGTGGCTGACATCCTTGTCTATGTCGGATATGAGGATGAGGAACAAGATGGGAGCGAGTACTGTGCCTTGTGGAACAGAGCTTTTCACCGTAGCTGCCTCGGACTTTACTCTGTTGACGACTACTCTCTGTGTTCTGTTAGTGAGGAAATTATAGATCCATCGACCGACTTTTCCTGTTATCCCTTTAGCACGCATTTTCACGCATTTTGTGCGCTATTACGCCATGGTCACACTTGTCGAAGGCTTTTGCAAAGTCTGTATATATTACATCTGCATTCTTTTTATCTTCTAGTGCATTTAGGACCTTGTCGTAGTGATCTAATAGTTGAGACAGACAGGAGCGACCTGTTCTAAACCCATGTTGCCCTGGGTTGTGTAACTGATGGGTTTCTAGATGGGTGGTGATCTTGCTTCTTAGGACCCTTTCAAAGATTTTTATGATATGAGATGTTAGTGCTATCGGTCTGTAGTTCTTTGCTGTTGCTTTACTGCCCCCTTTGTGGAGTGGGGCTATGTCTGTTGTTTTTAGTAACTGTGGGACGACCCCCGTGTCCATTATTATTATTATTATTATTATTATTATTATTATTATTACTCTTGAAATAGTAATAACACTATTGCAATATACCTAGCTGAATGAATCTAACTATAGCCAGCTGGCCCAGTGGCTTACGCACTGACCTGGAGTTTAATGAATCTATGGCCATGGGTTCTAATCCTACCAGTTCCGTGCTTTATTTTTACCATTGCTGCTGTTGCTCTAATCAAGCGCTAAACCCTTAAGGGTCTATGTAGCTCGTTGTCTCCACACATAGGGGAAGGATGACCAAGCCTCCAATACTCATTACAGTAACTGAATGATCCATACGGGTTATCTGTAAGTCACCATCACCTCATACCACTCCATCCACTATAAGCTTAAAAAAGGATTAAAATATATTCATACTGACATTTATCTTTTGCAGTGTGTGACAAGCAAGCAGAAAAGGCAGTCAATGGCAGGCAAGCAGAGAATACAGTGAATGGCAGGCAAGCAGAAGAGGCAGTAGATGTGAAGCAGGTAAAAGAGGTGACTGAGGCTCCACAAAAAACATATCGAAATCTCATCACAGAGTCGCACGTCAAACAAGCTCTGAAGGCACAACAAGGCAGCAGTGCACAGCTGCTCTCATGGACTGTTACAGACTTCACTAACAAGGGTGACAACTACGCATGCGTCGTGACAAGTGTAGATGTTTGTTATCATAAAGAAGGAAATGACAGAAAAACCTCATTTGTAGTGAAATGTAATCCATGTCGGGCCCTCTCAATATTCAATGAATTTTCGACTGCAGTTTTTCAGAAGGAGGCGGGATATTACCTGGAACTTTTGCCCTTATTCAACGCTCAGCTCAGTCGTGGAGGATGTGAACCAATACGGGCTCCTCACTGCTATTTTGCTCACTTGACTGAACAAGAGGAAGTTATATTCCTTGGAGATTTGCGCCCGGAAGGTTTCAAAATGTTTGACCGCATGAAAGGAATGGACAAGGCCCACGCTGTCCTTGTCCTCAAGGAACTAGGTAAACTTCACGCTGCCTCTATCTTATGTCAAAAAGAAACATCAGTAGTTTTAGAAGAAAAATACACATATATTAAGAAAGACTTTCAGTCTATTATTGGAGATGTCGACTTTAAGAAAATGCTTACTTCAGAAGTCGAGAATTCAGCAGAGATAGCAGAGAGAATCGGTGGGTACAAAAAAGTTGTTGACTGGCTGAAAGACTTTGCACCAAGTAGCAGCGAAGTCTTCCTGGAACAAATAAAGAAGAGTCCTCCCTTTGATGTGCTTTGTCATGGTGACTGCTGGAACAACAACATCTTGTTCAAGTAAGCATAATATTATAGTCATAGGAAAGCGCTCAAACCCACAGTGGTCATGCAGCGCCTTAGGAAAACTGGATGTATTCAGGTTTGATCCAAAGCCGGATCGCTATTCTTTCGTCTCATGGGAGAGGTCAGAGGGTTAAGTCCCCTACGGGGAACGAACCTACTTGTCTTGCACAAACACACAATAGTGGGCAGCTCCAATTTCTTGGATCAAGAGTGGGCTTTATACTTCGGCCTCTGAGACCCTCCTCAGCTCATTAATTTCTTGTAATATTTATGACTCCAAGCAAATTTGTTTCCAATGTCTAGTGTTCATTACACTTCCAACATTTTATGTTAATATTTATAATGAGATCACAATAAACAACTAATGTTTTAATAATTTAACTGCACTGAATATTAAGTAAATTACAAACGTTTTCTTCGTCTTTCTGTTTCATTCTAAAATAATTTTCTTGGAAATATAATCGAAACCTCACGAAAACTCTTGGAATTCAACTACCATTCACTGTGGTTAAATAATCGGAAAGATGGACGGGAGACTCTGATCTTGGTTCAGAGATTAACAGGTCCAATGGTTTACAACTACGCCACTGGGCTGGACCTGTTGATCTCGTGACCACAGTTCAAGCCTCCCGTCCACCTTTCTGTTTATTCAGCGACAGTCGTTTATTATAACTTAAATTGACTTCCATGCAAATATGTATCCAACAGGTACGATGAGACAGGTGTCCCGGTCGATGTAAGACTGCTGGACTTCCAAATCAGTCGCAAAGCTTCGCCAGCCACAGACCTCAACTACTTCATGTACACCAGTTTCAATGGTCCTGAAAGGAAGGACAATTTGGAAACTTTCTTGAATGTTTACTATGAGTCCTTAAGAGAGGTGCTGGAGGCAGGAGGAACCAAAGCTGAGTTTACATCTCAGGAACTACGAGAGGAATATCACAAGAAGAACTTGTTTGGTTTGATAATGGGAATGATGGTTGTACCTGTTGTGGTGAGTCAGGCAGCGGAGGTGATGGATCTGGATGATATAACTGATGGAGACATTGAAACGCTTGTAAAGGAGCAAAGGGAAAGGATGTTGAAACAGCTAGATAGTAATCCACTTCTGCGACCTCGACTTCTCTCTATATTTGATGAGATGTTAGAATATGGAGTAATATCTTAGATGATAATCTTACACAGATCTTGTTACAGAGTTATGGAACATATAATATTAGCAATAGTTAAAGATTGTTGAATGAATGTCTATGAGGGAAGAAATTATGTATATTTAATATTTTATAAATTCTAATTCAAATTAATAATTTTTTTCCACATGATACGTTGTTTGTACAAAAATAAATAACACTTGATAACGCGTGTAGAAAGCCCATTGTTATGCAGAGTATTTCGGGCAAACTTAAGCCTAAATGAAGATTACATGGGCTTCAGGGAGTCCCAAAAGTTTAGAAAATATGGAGAACTTGCCCATATCAGGGTAACTAGGGGTCCAAGGGCAGCAAGGCATGCTAAGCGTTCTAGTGGTACACTCTGTAATCACAATTTTACTACATGTAAACCAAACAATAACCAAATTTCTGTAAACTCAGCATTGTAATCCTTATAGAGAATAAACTTTGAATTGAATTGAATTCCAGCGACTAAGCGCTGCTGTTCAGAGGGGTTATGTATTTTGGGCACGCGCCCCAGCTCTGAGGAGCTGGATGAGATTTTCGCATTATATTCAATGACAAACACGTAACAATATGTACTAGACATGTATCTTTCACATCTCATGTGCTGTATATGTCATCTTTATATCAGTAGTGCATCTCTTAAATTTTTGCACCATATTATGTAATAAAATATACCTATAGGCAAGAAAGAATGAAAAGATGAGTTGGTGGGGGAAATGGAATATTCAAATAGCTTCAGGAAGAAATCCAAATATTCTTCCTTGAAGCCTTTTTATCCACTTCTCCGAGGCTATGGGTCCCACAGTTTACACCAGGTCGCTCCTGCCTCTCTCAACTACTGGATCACTATGATATGGCCTTGGATGCACTGGAAGAAAATAAGAATGCAGATGTAATATACACAGACTTTGCAAAAGCGTTTGACAAATGCGATCATGGCGTAATAGCGCACAAAATACGTGCTAAAGGAATAACTGAGAAAGTAGGGAGATGGATCTTCAACTTCATAACAAATCGAACACAAAGAGTAGTGGTCAGCAGAGTTAAGTCGGAGGCTGCTATAGTGAAGAGCTCTGTTCCACAAGGCACAGTACTCGCCCCCATCTTATTCCTAATCCTCATATCAGACATAGACAGAGATACACCACAGCACCGTATCATCCTTTGCGGATGATACTAGGATCTACACGAGGCTGTCATCTGCTGAGGACGCGGTTAACCTCCAAGAAGATATAAACAAAGTTTTCCAGTGGGCAACGGAAAACAATATGATGTTTAATGAGGACAAATTCCAACTACTCCGTTATGGAAAACTGGAGGAGATAATAACTAGAACAGAGTATACTACAAACTCTGGCCATACAATAGAGCGGAAAAATAATGTAAGGGACCTGGGAGTAGTAATGTCTGAGGATCTCACTTTCAAGGATCACAACAGTGCCACGATCACAAGTGCAAAGAAAA